AGAACAAAACTGATGAGTTCGGGAATGTGACACGTAACATGGCGAGACTAGTTGCTCAAGGCTACACTCAGACTCAAGGGATTGATTTTGATGAAACCTTTGCCCCCGTTGCTAGACTTGAATCTGTACGCATATTTCTATCTATTTCTTGTCTAATGAAGTTCATTGTATATCAGATAGACGTGAAGTCTGCCTTTCTGAACAGGTATTACATGAAGAGGCATACGTTAAGCAGCCAGAAGGGTTCAAAGATCTCAAGAATCCGAATCATGTCTACAGGCTTAAGAAAGCATTGTACGGATTAAAGCAAGCACCTCGTGTGTGGTATGAACGACTTACCATGTACCTTCTGAAAAAGGGATTCAAGAGAGGAGGAGTAGATCAGATATTCTTTGCTCTTCGAACAAATGAGGACCTATTGGATGTTCAAATCTATGTCGACGACGTCATCTTTGGCTCAACATCCAAAAAGTTGGTCAATCACTTTGTCAAACTTATGTCGTCTGAATTCGAGATGAGTTTCGTCGGTGAACTTTCGTACTTTCTTGGACTTGAGGTAAAGCAAGGTAAATATGGTATTTTCTTGCATCAGGGTAAGTATGCGAAAAACCTTGTTAAAAAGTTTGGTCTTGAAAATGCTAAATGTCCTCAAACTCCCATGGGCACTCATGTAAATCCGGACATTGAGTAAATCCATATGACTGGATTACCTCATCAAACCGAATATTCCAAGACCTTGAGGCTTGCTTCAGTCCATAAATGGACCGATTAAGCTTACAAACTAAGTGCTCATGCCCTTTTGCAATGAATCCTTCTGGTTGCTGCATATAGATGTCTTCCTGAAGGTTCCCATTAAGGAAAGCCGTCTTAACATCCATCTGCCACACTTCATAATCCATATGAGTGGCTACAGCCAAGAGAATCCGAATGGATTTAAGCATAGCTACTGGTGAAAATAAAAGTCATAATTTCATAACATATGTTTTGCAATTATAAAAATGGGGTAAGTTTTCATCTAATACATTAATTTCTTATTTAGTCATTTCGTCTTTTCACATAAAAGACCCTTATTTTTTATCAATTTGATGGGTGTTAAAACCAACAATATTTAATTCCTACTCATCTAAAATATAAAATCATAGTAGCAATAAGTAGAGTCGTATTCACAAATATTGGAAGAAATCAATTGATGCAACTATTTCACAAAAGAATAATAAACAAATAAAAAGCTAGGGTGGGGAGAGAGGGGGTTGATATGCTGAAACTACTTAAAATAATAAAAAATAAATTCAATTAAAATAAACACAAAGTTGAAAGATTCAAAATTCAACTAGAGTAAATAAATGAGATAAAATATCCAACCAAAAGAAAAATTCGTAGAAATGGTTCAATGATTCGATCACAGATGCAAATACAATTCTCCTTCTATCATTTACACTGATTATGATTATTGGTACGACCTAATAATATATTCTTCCTTGTTCGATATTTAGGATGCGATCTCTAATTATTTCTTCAATCAGCAGACAGTCCTAGAGACGATCATATGATTTAATTTAACAACTGCATTAAAACTTAGAAGGACCACCAATTCTAGCCAACAAACTCACATGTAGGATCAATTAAAATCAATAATTAAGCTAAAAAAAACACCGAAAACATATGAAAAACATGACAATTAACATGCAAAAAATGACTTATCACTATTTTACGTGGTCACCTTAGAATATTGTCCTAGTGTCTTTATACATCAAACTCATATTATTCTACTTACACTTGCATTAGTAACTCATTTTATTCGTCTTCTAATTCATTCTTATCGAACATGCACTTTATTATAATAATATATAAATACAATTTTTTTCTTTTTAAAATGTACGACTGTGGTAACCCTTTAAAATGAACACTATCATGTTTCTGAAATTTTCCAATGAACAGCAAAAATTGCTACCTATTTCATTCGAGAAAAAACATAGAAACTGCAAACGCAGCAACTAAACTGAGAACAACAGTGACCCTCGTACAATGGCATCTTCATCATAAAAATGTTAAACGTAAAGCTCGTTAATGCTTGACCATCATCGCATAATTTGCTCACGGAACTAATGTAGAAAATTATCTAATGTCACTCAGTTGCCTGTGATTGCAATTTCTTCTTAAGAATATTTGACAGCGGTGTAACTGCTGCTCGCCCTTGTTCTATGCACTGTAAATAATCGTCCACTGAAAAACAAATTGGCAACATGAGTTTTTCCCTAATAAAAATCAATAGCAAGGTGCTGAAAAATTAATAAAGAAACACCCTAAGAAACATCTCAATCGGTTCTTTTAAAAAAATATCATATGCCGATTGTGTGTAAAAAAATGTATAAACAAATGTTTCCTGGTGCAATTAAAAGTGGACGTAGTATAACTTGTGTGGCAATCAAAATATGAGACAAAGTCTACTCTTTAGTCTATTTTGGACCCATGTACTAACATGAGCAGTCAACATTTATTCCCAAGGGTGTGTTTGTAAACAAAATTACTCATATCTATATTCAATTTATACTCAAATCTAATTCAACTTTAACCCAACTCCACTATCATCAATATTATCAATATAATGAAATGATAACAATCAATCATTTTTACACACCTCATCACAAGTGACTGTTCATCCACTCACATAATTTTAACTAACCATCACTTCATATCATCTCTCATACTTTGGCATCAAATCAACTTTAATTTTTTTTTAATTATAAATATTATTGTTAGATAAACTCAAATTATCACTAACAACTAACCACACCATTTTTTCCAAACTAACTTTGGTTAAGAAAAAAAAAATGCATTTTCAGATAATTTATTTATAAACAAACACACCCTTAATTTTTCTTTTAATAGCGTACACATATTAGAGCATTTTTATTGGTTGGCATGTATTCTAGACATATTTATTTATTTTTGCTGGATAGCTTTTGAGAATTTTTTTTTTTACTTGGGTTGTTCATGTCATTCAGGACGTCAGTATATTTATACGCCATCAAATTGTACCCAATGCATTGCGGATGTTTTTAGAGTTCTCAAAAGCTTAGGACCAAAAAAAGTGGAAAAGTTATTATCTAGAAACTAATCAACCACCAAACCTCATACCTTTGTTTGCATAGTCAAAACATAATAAAATCACAGGTTAGTAAGAAAAATACTACAAAAGTAAGATGCTTAACCTGCCATTACACCACGCGTAACAGATGTGATAATCCCATTTGCTGACCCTTCAGGTACAACGGATCGAGCTGAACCAGGGAAAGCTAAGCACACAAACGCCTTCATTTTCTGCCTCAACAGACACACACATGACACACCAGAGGATTAATGCCACAAACAACAAAAACCGAATGCACGAGACATGAAATATACAATGCACAGGCATAATGAACTCACATGGAATAAATTTGTTAGAAGACAATGTCATAAAATGGGTAACAAGAAAAATTACCTGCTCTTCTAGCTTGCCAGGGTCCAATATAATCTGTCCATTTTCTGCTATGCAACACGATATGGCGACTGCACGTGTTGTAAGGTTATAATAACATTAGTTCACACCCACAATATAAAGGTTTTATATTTCCTTTTTTACCTGCAAGGTATTTCAAAGGGATTCCAGCATCTACAAGAGCAGCACAAGCAGCATGTATAGCACATGGCAGAAGCTTAACAATACTATTGGTTATAGAAGTTTACAATATAATCTTTTCAAAGAAGGAAGAAATTATATGAGGTGAATTTCTAATGCTGAGAATTGAGCGTCACTGTAAAAGTTTTTGTAACGATGCTAGGTCAAAATTAAAACTTAAAGCTCAAATGGAAGTAAAGCCATGAAGTTACAAACGTGACAAGAAAGGATACAGAGCCGTCATCATGGACAACCTGCAGCAAAGAAAAATCATATACTCGATAAGACAGGTTTACACTATCTTACGAATCATTGAAAGAAAAAATTTTATGAACTTATGAAGAATGGCCAGAGGAAAGAAGTTTTAACATGTTCATTCTCAAAGCACAAAAGTCGTAATGTTCAACACTTCCAATTTGACATGGCCACGCCACACCACACCACAACAGCAAAATCAATCAAGCAGAAGAAATCTCATATATTAATGGATTAATTAAGATTTTAACAAATCCTTCGCGATTGCCGAGTTCTTATTCGAATTCATTTAGCAGCTATCACCCAAGAATATTGCTTTCAACCATACAGTGAATTCACTCTGACACATGAAGAAGGGGATCACAACACAAATTTATTCAGCCTCACCTGAACTATAATTGATGTTGTGGTGTTTGGATGAACATTAAGAAGGCAGATATTTTGCAATGTTCTCTTCAGTACCATTTCAAGCTCTTTCTCAGGTTTCCCTAGCAAATTTACACATTTTGTTAAAAATTAGGTAAGGGACATGAATGTAAAGTATACCACCTGCATTTATCCATTGATAATTAATAAATTAATAACGGC